CACTGTGAATCATGTGGATTTTAATTTCTTGTCTGTCCAGCAGTGGGGAAGCAGAGGCAGGAGGACCTCCCCATCTTGAGGCAAGCCTGGTTTAATAGAGGCTTCCAGGCCAGCCTGGGGCTGCTTAGCAATAAAGACCATTTTACAAAGCCATATTAATGACAATAATGATTATGATGATTTGTCTGTTACATTATGTTGCAGATATTTCTGTCATTTGTCTTCTAATTATGAATTTTTGTCTTTGCCATTTAATTTTTACAAAATTGTGTCTATAAGTTGTATCCGTTATGGCTTTTTAAGTGTATGTCATGTAGGAAGGTCTTCTACTCCTGAGCTTATACAAATATCTTTGTAAGTTTTCTTCTAATATTCTTATTATTTTGTTTTTTTTTATGTTTAGCTCTTTAATCCATCTGGAAATGATTTTTGTATATGGTGTGAGGTAGGTATCTAAGTGTATTTTTTTAAATGAATGGTCCATTGTCCCAACACCTTAATTACTAACCCATAATCTCATATATTAAACTCTAGCATTTATACATGGTTCTGCTTCTAGGCTTATTTTGTTACGTTAGTATATTGTCTATTTCTATGCCAAACAAAGGGTGGTTCACTACATAGAGCAATAAAATGATTTGCTTTCTGAGAAAACAAATTCCCATCATTGTTTTAGTTCATCAAGTCTTTAATTAAGCAATCACTACTCTGGATGAAGTTTGGATTCATCTTGTCGGTTTCCATAACCCATTCTATTGAGAAATTTAAATTTGTATTTCACTGTAATTTTAAGTTGTACTTGAAGAGTGAATGAGAAACTTACCCAATTAAACCTTTTTATCCAAGAAAATGATAAAACTTTGCATTTATGTAGGTCCTGTCTGCAAGCAAAGCAGAGTATTATTAATAATGTCAAGCGCTGGCTCTCTGCTATGGGGTGGGTCTTAGGTTGGGCCAATCATTGGTTAGACATGCCCTCAAGCTCTTCTCCATCTTTCTCCCTGGATATATTTTGGGTTGAAGGTCTTGTGGGTGGGTTGGAGTCCTCTTCCCTCCACTGGAAGTCCTGCCTGGCTGGGAGATGGCCTCTTCAGTTTCCATGTGTCCCACAGCTGAGAGTCTTGGCTAGAGTTACAGCCTTATCTTCCTAGGAGCCTTCCCAGTAACAGATCTCCAGCTTATCTCAGAGATACCTTCCCCACTCTGTTTCCCTTCTTCCTGAGCCCTCTTGCCTCTCACCCCTGCTCTGCCCACATTTGATCCCCACACTCCTATACATTTTAAGTTAAGTTATATATCAGGGTTTTTAAGTGCTTTGTTGATATTATACAGCTTTATTTTCAATTCTGTTTTGAATTGTTATGGTGTTATTAGTGTAGTTTGGCTATTATTTTTCTATATGTGGGTATCTTACTAACATTAGTTTTAATTTTTTAGTTAATTGTTTTGAATAACCATGCTTACTGAGACAACAATTTTGAATCTTCTGTTTCAACATTTTATCAAAAATGTATTTTTTAAAATAAATATTTTATTAATTCTTTGAGAATTTCATACCGGTAGTACATATATTATGGTCATATTTATGCCCAACTCCTCCCTACAATTCTTCCCAGACATACCTCACCTCCCTAATCCCTTTGTGTCCTCGATTTTAAAATTTAATAAATTTAATAACCCATAGACTTGACTTTGTGCTATCCATTGACTTCTGGTTGTGTCCATCCACTACTCATGAGCTCCTTTCTCCTCCATGCCTGAGGCAGCGGTCCTGCATGATGATGCTCACTGTTTTGCCCTGGTCCTCCCCCACTAGTCTTGGCTCTTACACACTTTCCTCCCACTCTTCTTCAATGGTCCCTGAGACTTGGGGAAGGGGTGCAAATATAGATGTCCCATTTCTGGCTGAACTCTCACAGTTGCTTATTCTCTGCATGTTGACACCTTATAAGTTTCTGTGTGAAGTACCATCCTCTACACAGAGAAAGTTTCTTGATAAGGTCTCAGGTTTGCACTAATGCAGGCACAGAGAGATATGTATTTAGAGACCAGTTTAATGCTTATGCACTTGAGGAAATAACTACTTTATCACTTTGGTTAGAATTTCCTGGACAGCATTTCATAAAACAAAGGAAAGAATGTCCCTTCTGTGCTTCTGAGGTTTATCAGGCATTGTGATAGTTAACATGTTAAAGAAGAAACGTTTCCTTACTAATAGATTATGGTTTTCAATCAGAAAGCAGAACTTGAAAACTTTAGCATCTTTTGAAACAATGTTTTTTTAAATGTATTTACTTTTTAATTAGGCAAATGGAACAGTAAATTACCCAAGGTTGTTATTGTTATGATATATTTTGAGTAAGTTATTCAGATTTGGTGATTATATTTAGGACATAGATGGCTTTATAAGAACATATAGATTAAATTTTCTACTATAATAAATAGCTTTAAATATTAATTTCAGCAAGTACTAAAATAATATTTTAATCTCTGTCAATACTGTTTAATAGATTATTCCTTTGTTGTTAGTTATAGTTTTCTTTATTTGCTATGGAAAATGTTTCTTGCTCATATTGTGTACTGATTTTTTCTTTGAAATTTTAGATTTCCTTTGAGGTTTAATATGATTGGATTTTATAAATTAAAAGAATAATTTTAGTGTGTATTATTTTTTCATTTCAACAGCTTTTTCAGTTTTTAAAATTTTACAATATTTTACTCTTTATATATGCATATATTTCATGTAGTGCTGTTATGGTAGCTGGAGTACGCAAGTTCGTGATCTCATATATGGTGAATTTTTCCAACTTTATATATAACATTAAATTAGAAATAACTATGACATAATCCTTTTTAATATTAAACAGTTGACATTCAGAGTTCTTCAACTACACATAAGGAAAAAAAACAAAGTGTTTAAAAATAAATTAATAAAGAAAATTTAATTAGCCATATTCATCCACATCTACATGTATAGATATCCTTTCCTGTATGCATGGACAATTATATTTCACTTTTATTGCCTATGCTTTGACTGCTTTATTTTCAATATTTTCTGTAATTTTGTCTTAAATACAGCCTGATTTCTAACCTAAATTCTCTCCCATGTTGGAGATAGTAATCAACCATTCATACTTACTGTCTACGGAGTATCGGACTTTGCATCTGTTTTCTGTTCTTTTCATTATTGTTGCTTTCCCTTATTTGCAGTATTTTTCTTGTGAGATGAAAGCTTTTGATAGATACTGTGTTTCTGAAAACAGTCAGGAGGCTGTTGTAATGTTTTATTCTTCTAGAAGCTATGTAAAGTTTTTCACAGGCATATTTAAGTGTGAATTATTCTGATCAATAATTGATTGGTACCTATAAGTGCTTTTCCTGCCTCTCTTAATGATAAAGTCTTTAACAGGCTTTTAATTATTTCTGTATCTACTCTCTGTGGCACTTATTGTTAAAATTATGTGGAATTTCATTCCCCATAATTAGGTTAGCAATAGCAGCAGTAGTACTATTAACATTATTGGTAATATTATTTACTTTATGTTTCTATTTTATAGGAAGCTCTTATTAGATATTGTATTACCTTTAGCCACCAAATTAGCACATGTTATTTAGACTTAAATTGCATTGTTGTAGTCTATTTGCTCTATAGTAAAATTCAAGACATCACATATCTGGGATTTCTTTTTATGTTCTTCCAGAATCTTACTCTATTGATTTCTGATGTTTTTTGTTTTTGTTTTCTTTGAAAGCCTGTGTTTAGTGAAGAGGCCTAGTGTTGCTTTCCAGGTAGAAACACCTTAAATTGTCTTCACAGTTATGGTAATTTTAAAGATTGAGTGACTTTTCTACAAATCCAAAAGACTGATTTCTTCTAAGATGTTTCCAGTTGATGACAGACAGACAGACTCTCTCTCCTCTGTCTTCTTCTAGATATGAGGTTTTCTTCTATTTAGCCATTGCTTTTCAGTGCCCATTGCTGCTGTCCCTCCAACTGGTCCATCAGGGAAAGACATTTGTGTCAAAAGTTTACTGGGACACAAAGAGCTATGTTATTTTCAAGCAAACAGCAAGCACTTTCCTAACAAATTCCACTTATTAACTGAAAGGCTCAACTTCTGATGTTCTACTTAGTAATAACGCATTTCATTCCTGAGATCTGAAACACACTGTGAACTTTTTTCATGTGTGCCAATACTCTAACCTTTGTCCTCAGTCATATTCCAAATGTCTACCCTTCTCACTCTCTTTATCTTCCCCTTGAATCTCAGGAGTAAGCCCGCAAATGGCCAGTGTCTCTTGAGGCTATTTTAAAGACTATTTTCTGTGATGTATCTTACTAAGCATTTTAGAGAGGTATTCTTTTTTTTCCACCCAATTTCTTATTAACAGAAGGGCTTAGGGGTTGCTGGAAATCTTCATCCTCTTCACATGAATCGCAGATCCCAAATTGTGATGAGAAATTTGAGTGGGAGGTGAAATTAATAATCTACAGGTTAGATGTCTGTAGTATATATGTATTTCTTAATCACCTTTGTCAAGGGGTCTAACTCAATGTTTGTTTATGACCTCTCTGATGCTTGGAGGCTCATGTTATGATTCTCTTTGTTTCCTCCTGGAGATTTCTTTAAGGAAGATTTTAAGATTTTATTCTCGTACCAGATTCTTTTTTTTTTTTAATAGTGTAAAGATTTATTTATTTATTTGTTTGTTTATTATACCAGGCTCTTAAACCTTCCCTCTCACTTCAGATTACCATTTAGCTTTCATTCTCTATGTTAAAAAGTCTGTCTTCTTCCCTCAGGTCTGATCTATAGCTGCTCTCATTCTGATAGTCACTGATGTCAGCATTCCCATTCACCTTTGAGTTCAGGTTGCCTAGAGCATAGCCATGTTGGGATTCAATGCATGGAGGGTACATTTATACAAGAAGGCTGTAGACTTCTGGTTGGTAGTGATCATCTGGTAACTTTACGTGCTTTTGTCTTTGCCCTTTTTAGGTGGGAGGACACACCATGCTCCCCATCCGCTGGATGCCCCCTGAAAGCATCATGTACCGGAAGTTCACCACAGAGAGTGATGTGTGGAGCTTCGGGGTTATCCTTTGGGAGATCTTTACCTATGGGAAACAACCATGGTTCCAGCTCTCCAACACAGAGGTAATAATGGGACAGGTCAGGATCTGTTTTGGGAGGAAGGCTGATGATGACAGATATCCCAGAACAGGGATTGCATATAGTGTATAAAATAGGTAGGTCATCAAAGTAAAGGAGGAAACAGCTTCCTAGTGGAGGAAGAATTGTAACCATGGAAAATATGATATAACTGTCAAAAGAATATTAAATCAGATGTGTGAACTGAGATAGGAGTCAGGGTTCTGTTTGTTCTTCCATACAGAAAAAAACAAATGTTTCACTAATAGGGAAAAAGAAAATAGAGAACAACTGTGAGTTTTCCCATTGTGCCATGTCATGGAAACACTGAGTGCTTTGTATGTCTACAGAAGGATGTCTCCAAGGGCTTGGGCTACCCCAGGCAGGGCACAGCATAGATCTGGATTAACTGAATAGGCCAAGTGCACATGATTAACAAGGTTATGTGTGTGTCCAAGAATAAGATAAACCAACTACAACACAACAATGGATACTCATTATCTTTTGGTAATTTCAATTTATAAAGCATTAAGAAAGTAGAACAGTAAATGATGTTTAGCACTTGGCACCTTTCTAAGCACCTTTGGCACAATAATAGAATTTTCACTAAAACGCTTGTGTTTTGGGACAAAGGAAAGGTATTCCTTGACATCTTGGAAGAGACTGGGTATCTCAGAGAATTAAACAAGGAGGTAGCTTTTGTTGCGGTCTCAGAAATTTTCTAAGTGATGCTGAGATACATCATCAGAATTTTTAAAAGTGGAAACTGAAGTGTGAGGTCACCTGCTTGAAGTCACAATTGAAGAGAAGCTAAAATAAAACTAAAAATTAGACGAAGTTTTGAGACATACACATATTTTCAGTTGCCGTAAAGAAATGTTTGGCATCCCAGAAGAGCCAGAGAACACATTATGAGGTGGTATAATATAATGTCTTGGATGCAATCTTGGAATAGCAAAAGGACAGAAGGTTAAAAACTGAGGAAATGTGAATAAGCCACGGCATTAGCTAATTATGTATTAACCAAATGTAGTGTGTAATGTGCTAATGGCAAGTCACAGTGGGAACCATATATAGTTTTCTCAATTTTTCTTTTAACAAAACTGTCCTCAGAAACAGAGTTTATTTCTTCGCTCTTGTGAATATGGCAAACATAAGCACGGATGTGCAAGCATCTCTGGGTAGAATATAAATTCTTTAGGCATGTGCCTGAATTTAGCAGTGAGGCTGTGTCACCACGTAGCACCATTTTTAACTTTTTTGAGAAACCTCCATGCTTATTTCCGGCCTAGCTTACAATGTTGTAAGTGATGTGTGCATGTAAGAGTGAGTGCGGGTTGATTAGGTTATGAAACCAGAAAGGAGGTAGTAGAAAAAAAAGAGGTGTTGGAGAACTCTGGGGAGGGACAATGGGACACCTGAGACATGAGTGCAGAGAGGATGGTGTGGAGGAGGTGGAAGTGAACAGAATAGTTATTGTGGAAAGAGCAGGAAATGATAGAAAGAGAATGAGGAAAATCAAATCAAGCCAAAATGCTAGAATGAAGCTTAATACCGCATTTGCCAATTAGAAAAGTAAAGTCCAGTGTTGAAATTAAGGAAAAGGGGGGAAGGATAAGGTAGTACGGTGGGAATACATTCAAAGTACAATATACTTTTAACAAGATGCCCATATGTAACCTGATACCGTGTAGAATGGATATGCATCAACTGGAAAGTAAATGATTGTCTTAAATGTATCTGGACTGTGGATATAGATAAGTAGCACGAAAACTGCCTACTCTTGAGGTCCCAGGTTCAGTTCCCAGCATTCTCAGGAAATATCTTCAAGGAATTGAAATTGAACTTCAGAGAACATCCATGGGTCCCCTGAACCTTGCAGCCATCCATTCAGGGCAAGGGAATTTTTTTTTTAATTGTTGCATTTGCATATCCAGTCTGATATTCCTTGAGGTTAACTGACTTGCACTGGCTGGTCACCCAGGCAGTGTCTAATCTAGCAGCTCATCAAGAACTATGAGAAATTGAGGAAAACTGGCAGCAAGAGAGGTGGTCTTCCTTAGGGAAAAGCACTAATTGGGTTACCAAATGGTCACCCCTGAAAACATTCAAGTGACATTATATGAACTGAACAGGTTATACTTAGGAATATATATGTATATCCATATACATACATACATACAATAACAATTAGTGAAAGAAGAAACCATGAATTTGAATGAGATTGGGGAAAGGTATGTGGGAGTTTTGGAGGGAGGAAAGGGAAGGGAGAAATGATGTGACTATAGTATAATCTCAAAAATAATGTTAAAAAATTTAAATCCATAAAAATACTTTACAAAAATTTTAAAAATACACAAGACAGGTGAATCAATGCAAAAAGGAGGGCAGAAAGAGTCCTAGGCTCAAGTCCTATGCAAATAGGGTGGTGTGCACAGTGGCTGTGGCTGGGAGAAAAACTATAAATGGTAACCAGTGTCTGAGAGATGGATCAGTAGATAAAGCACTTGTTATAAGAGCATGGGGACTGTAGTTCAGATCCAAAGAGCCCAAACACACAGCCAAGCAAGTTGTGGCAGCTGCCTGGCTTATGAGCACTAAGAAGGCACAGGCACAGGCAGCCTCCTAGAGGAGTGGCTGGGATTGGTGAGTTCCACTTCCAGGGAGAGACTCAGCCTCAATAAAGACAGTGGCATTCAAGCAAAGAGGATACACAGCTTCAACCGTGGGCCTCTACACCCGTGGATATACACATACATGCCCACCTAACCACACATGTGAACCCATACTCACACATGCAAGCCCGTGTGAATATGTAAACACATGTACCCAAGCATAACGCATACACATATATTCCCAATTAAATGAAAGTAAAAGGGGATAAAGGCGGGTATGCAGGGAGCAGATAGGCAGAGCTCTATAAAGGGGTTTTAAAAGTCACAGAGGCTAAGAGGTAGAGGGATGGTGGTCAGGACCCCCAATCTCCACAACAAGGTGAGAGGAATGTAACCCAGGCAGTCCAGATGATAACCAGGACCACAGAACTTTAAAGTAAAAGGGAAGGGTACCTGGGTAGAGTCAGGGTCCACATGCCCTGACCCAGCAGCTACAGCGCAAAGAGCAGCAGTGAGATCCACGAGCACGGTGCACGGCTCATCGCTTCTGTCACCTCTGCATAGGTGGAGAAGAAAACCAAGGCTGCATTCTACGCAGACTTCAGCCTGCGCGCGCGTGTGTGTGTGTGTGTGTGTGTGTGTGTGTGTGTGTGTGTGTGGCTGAAGCGGGAGTCCCGGCACCAAGGATGGGCTTTGAATAAACTTCTGGATATGACTTCTTTATCCTTGCTCTTTCAGGTCATTGAGTGCATCACCCAAGGCCGTGTCTTGGAGAGACCCCGAGTCTGCCCGAAAGAGGTATATGACGTCATGCTGGGGTGCTGGCAGAGGGAACCACAACAGCGGCTGAACATTAAGGAGATCTACAAAATCCTCCATGCTTTGGGGAAGGCCACTCCAATCTACCTGGACATTCTCGGCTAGTGGTGACTGGTGGCCAAGCGTTTATACTCTGTTGCCTCCTCTCTCCCTGCTCATATCCTCTTTTTCCTCATCTCCACTCCTTTCTTCCATCTTTGACTGAAATGAACATCTTCATATAAACTCAAGTGCCTGCTACACATACAACACTGAATTTAAAAAAAAAAAAAAGAAAGAAAGAAAGAAACCCTGTAAGGCAGTTTGACATATATATTTATATATATAATTATCTATCTATCTATATCTACAGAGAATTACCTTCTCAGATACACAGAGAAGCTGCTGATACAGAAAACCGTAAGACATTAACAATTGAGAAAAAAATTTAAATATTATTATTAACACAAATGAAATCCCCTTGACTTAAGCTGTGGCCCATGCTTCTTCAGCTCTGGATTTTGGAGCTCTTCGTCTTGACCCTGCCAAGAGAGAGGCTGGGAGGAGGCAGGGTACTGCCCAATCATCCGTGCACATGCGTAACCCGTTGACGGTGCTTGGCAAGGAAACAATTCTGGAAGTCCAGGCCCTTCGGAACCATCTCTGGTCTGCCTTGACCTTTGCTTCCACTCTCTTCCCGCTTTTTCTCCACTTTGGGACAATTTTCTAATTTGTCTGTTCTACAAAGTATATAGTCGTGACGCTTTTTGGAATCAATGATGACACCTACGGGTAAACAGTGAACAAATAACAACACCAGACCACACAAAGCCATCCACGGTCAGGGTGATCACCAAACAAGTAAGGACAGGGGACTCCTGGGAGAGGAAACCCCACCCTTTCGGATGTAAATCATGCTCAATTCCTTACTAGGTTTGAAGCGATTCGATCTTCTGAACTTGAAGAACTGTGCTTAGTGGATTTACAGAATGGAGGAAGAACAGCTGAAGTCCGAATCCTATCAAGGCATTGCCACTCATCTTTCCATCACTGGGGAGATTCTTGGCCTGTCCTTTCATTTTAAGGCTCTTGGGGAGCTTGGAGGTTTAGAACCCACATTTTCTGGTGTTATCTGCTAATGCGGACACAGCAGGTTTCAAGGCTCTGGTAGCAAGAGACTTAGCTGCTTGTAGGTCATAATTAGGCAGCCCCTTGGGTCTTATTTTCTTATCTTGCTTCTCCCATATCCTGAGGTTCAATCAAGTCCTGGGTAAACCCCACTGCTAGGAAAGGAATCCAGGTGAGAGCCTGAGTCATTTGTGTTTCAAGCAGCCAGACACTGGCATTGGCAAAAGCCAGCAACGAAGAATCTTCTTGGCACCTGTGCTAGGCCCTTGGCATTCTCCTCACGTTTTCAGCCCTCGGAAGGATTGATGCATCTGCCTTTGAGCTGTTGTGAAAAGGCAGGGACTGAGAAATCGCTTTGTGGGCTGGGTGTTGGGGGGAGGGGCTGAAGCTTCTCTGGAAGATGTCCAATGAGTGGCCGGTGCTGCAGATTTGGCATCTTAATGAGGACCAAGCTCTGACCGAGAGTGAGAATGAAGCAGCTGGGCTGGGGACAGTCCCCCTTGGCTCCAGCACCAGGGGAATCACTGCCTTCCCAACTGGGCTGCTGAGGACTGCAAAAGAGAAGCTCCTTGGACAGCCCTCTTACAAAACAATAAAACTCCCCAGGGAGCCAAGCGCCTCACTGCACGGAGCCATCTTGCTGGGGAGGAGGGGATGCCTCTTCCTAGGGTATGTGCCTCTCCACCTCATCCCAAGCACAGCGCTACCTAACAGACTGACATTTTCCTACCAGAAGCTCCCAGGAGCCGCTGACTAACCCTTTCCTTGCCAGCTGAAGGAACTGTCTACAGCCTGGATACCCTGGCCATCAAACGCAGCTGAAGTACTCGCAACTCTGTGGCGGGTTTAGGACTGAATTATGTGTTTGTAGTTTTCCTTTTTTTTTTTTTTTTTTTTAACCAACAAATGTTTTTATTCAAATAGTAAAGAGCTGTGCTCAGATTGTAGCCATGGTTGGGATTCAGGGATCTGCAAGGCTGCTCAGCTGGACTGGGAGAGAGCTGGGTTAACTGGGAATTCAGTGTGGAACTTCTTACTCTGCTAGGTACCACGTCCCTGAGGACATTAGGGTAAAGCTCTTTGGATTGATCCCTTCAAAAGAACCCTTTGCTTTCCTGTGACAATTACTTCTCTTATCACTCTTTGAATTGGTACATTTGAGGCTTTTGGTCTCTGCTGGGTGGAAGTTTCCATTCAGGTTTTAATCTGGAAAAGTAAAGGGAAGCCACTCAGGCAGGGAATGCCTTGGGGGTGGGGGTCTGAGGGGAAACTGTTTTCTAGTTAGAAGTGGTGTTCCAAGATCTATTCTTCCCCCCAAACAATCGCTTAAGGCCTTTTGTTTTTAATGGTCTGGAAGAGACGGAGAATTGAAGTTTAGAGACTTGATGGGACAGTTAGGACAAATGACAAGACTGAACCTGCTCATGTGTCCTTTGTTAGTTCCATGAGCTTCCACATTGGCATCTCTGTGTTCTTCTTTATCAGCTGCCTGTGTAACAGCAGGAGAGTGAGGGCAGTGGAGTTAAGAGAGGCCCAGAATGGGGCCAACCTTCTCACAATCCTAGCATCCTCTCTGCATAGAGTGGATTGCATGTGAACCTCAGAAATGGTTGGAGGTGCTTCAGAGGGTAAGGAAATACAGAACAGGCTTTGGACAGTGACATGTTCTAGTGTCTTTGGGTGTGCAGGGTGTCTTCCTTCTTGCGCCCCACTTCACTGTGTCTTGTTTTCCTTATGTGAAGAGGAAGGGATGACTTTGTCATGCCCTGATCCTGATCTAGCCCTGAGTTCTTAGCTTCTAACTGCACTGAGTCACTGTGTCACTTTTTTTCTCAGCATCAATCTGGAATGCCTAGCAAACCCTCTTTTGGCCTTGCGTGGGAGGTGGCCTCTGAGGACATACTGTCCTTGGGTTGGGGTTGGTGCCAGTAAGTCACTCTGGTCCTTTTCTTCAGCTATGTCACAACATGTAAAGAGTCTAAAGTGTCTGAGACTACTTTAGGCTGGGGTTGGGAAACATTTTGTCTCATTTCCTACCTTAGCCTTACCCTATGCCAGAAAATTGTTATTGGTGATTTATTTATTTGATTATTTATTTATTTATTGTTAAAGAATCTTATATGGTCCAATGAGTCTAGAATTGACATCCCATCAGCCCATGTAACTGCTGCCAACTGTTGCATCCTGCCTCCTACATAAATATATCTACAGCTTCAAAGAGCATTTCAGATTAATTTACTACTTAGTTCAAAGTCAACTCCTCTATGAATGCTTGTGAATATTTCAGGGACCCATGCTTAACTCTATGCCCTGTTACTGTCACTTGGTCTACTCTTGTGTTGACAAAGTGACTTAGGTGTCCATTGTAGAACAGGATGTCATGGACAAGGGTCTTAGTTATTTGATTTGGATATAAACTTAATGCTCCTTTTTGATTACATCTCTGAACTGTTAGTGGTTGACAGGATCACCTAGTTCTCTCTAGTCAACAGACAAATGACTTTGGTCTTCCTCCACATAGCAGATCATACACAAGTTAGTCCTAGAGATAGTTTCTTGCTGGAGATGAAGATCCTCCATTTTTCTGGACTTGAACTCAACAGTGTTGTTCACCTCTGGTGATGCTTACCTTGCAGAACACACTAGTGCGAATCCTTCTGGTGCTAAATACTACAGAAACCAATAACCACAGAAGAGCTTCAATACAGAAGTAAGAGTGAGTCAACCATGTTGGAAGAGCACTGCATGCAGCAGAAAGACCGTTGAGAACCCTGCCTTTGTGCTTGGCTACTCATGTGATTTTGGCTAAATCAGCATCTCTTAGATTATCAGTTTTCCCATCCTAGATGTACCAAGTTAGAAAAGGTGGATCCTTCAATTTCAGTTTGAAAGGCTATTCTGAGTCCCGTGTACTTCTTTATCCTAAGCTTGTTTGCTAGTAATGAAAGCTGAAGTGAACGGTAGGAAAGGAAAGTAAGAAAAGTTACTGTTGACCAAAACTGATCTGAAAGGGAAAGTAAAGAATATTTAGTGCCTGTTATGTTTAAGGGAGATTGGTGCAGGATCCAGGCACACAAGTCAGGAAGTTGATATTTGTGTTCTTCAAGAAAAACTGCTCTTCTCTTCTAGCCTTTTTCCCCACTACACATGCCCATATTGGCAGAAACTAGTCTGGGATATAGAGATAGTCCCACCCACTTCCCATGCAAGGTAGTAATCTGAACTCTGGATCAGAATCCACAAGATTTTATGTTTGTACTTGCTTTCTCTGAGTTCTTTTACATCCAAGAATAGACTAGTGGCATTCCTGCTTCCTTTTTCTGAACCAAACAGCAATAGAATAAGCTTTACACTTATCTGAAACTTTTGATCTTTGCAATTCTTTGCTTAGTGGGGAGCCTAGAATATTTGTGGCTGATCAGCCAATTAGCCCACATTTCAGCAGTCCTGGAGCCACTTTCAAAGATCTGTGTAGTGCCTAGTGTCTGTGTTGGCTGAGCACCAGTTTGCTAAAATGCACAAGGTGTTTACCTTAGAGTAAAAAAGGTCACCTTGAGCTCACATCCCGTGAACTGTAGTCACTCACTATGATTTTATTTCTTTTCAAAATTCACCCTACTTGGTACCAAATAAATTGTTTCAACTGATACTTAATAGGGCTGGAAGTGTAAGTCCACATTTGGCGAACATTATTAAAACATCAGTTTGGACTTCAGAAACTGAGGATTGCTTAAATCACCAGGAAAACATTCCTTTTAGCTCTAGCCATATGCACCATGTACTCTATTCATTTGATGTTCATAGTTTCAGGGAAGTCTCCCTGAAACCAGCAAGTCAGTTGCAGTTCTCTTTGTACCTCGTGTCTCTCCTGGATGAGAACTGTAGAGGTGGACTGGACTCACAGGTATTCAGAAAGGTCCCAAAGGGAAATCAGTTATCTCAGAAAGTTTGATCATCCGCTGCTCCCCATATTAAATCGTATTGACAATAACGTCTGAGTTTCTCAACATCATCTTTCATGGTTTTCTGATAACTCACCCACAGAAACCCTTTCTGCTTATGTTTTGTTTGGAATTTGGTATTGATGGTACCACCACTGTAGATGAAATGTCTCCAGGAGGGCCAGAATAAATGGCTTTTGAGAGGATAATAACTAGTCACTCTTCTCTGATAGGCATTGGTGATGGTGGTAGAGTAGATGGCTGTTGTGCTCAAGCACTGGGTATCAGGATTTCTGCTCTACATGTGGGCTGTCCTGCGCAGGGCCCGACATCTTTGCTTCTGACCAGGTTTCTGTTTGTCTGGTCCATTCTCTCCAAACACATTTGTGTGTGTGTGTGTGTGTGTGTGTGTGTGTGTTTTCAACAAATTTTGCATGTAGCAACAGAATCATCTTTCTCTGAGCTCTGTGGAGATGTAGGTTCCATCTGATAGACCTTGGAATACCTTTTCTTTCCTTTTTTTTTTTCTTGTACAAAATTGTACAAAATCATGAGTTTCATTATGATATTTCCAAATATGTGTGTACTTGGAATTCCTCACCAGTCATAAAATTCACATTGCTCTTTCTGTGGACAGCTAGGTTCCAACTTTAAAACAAGGCTTGATTTGATGTTTGCTATAAAAATTATGTCTTCAATCAGCAAACGTAGTTCCCTTTTCATACAGAGGTAAGAGTGTAAATTCTATTAACATTTCCCCCTAACCATCCAGGAATACATTGGAGCTCCAAGGTCTAAGCTCAGAGCTCTCAAGAGATTTATAGTTCACAGAGCAGATGTTTCTAATAGAAGGCGGATTGAGATAACACAGAAGACATGGAACTTACTGAGCTCCTCCTCCTGAGAAGCTCCTAGGAATTTAGGTATTGCTTTCATTTAGTACCTCTGAGATGATTTAGTCCCAGTAATTTTAGGCAGTCAGAATTTAGACTTCCTCTCTACAAGAATAAAGGTACTGTGAGAGCCCAGCTCTACTCTGTGTGCTCTAGCATCCCTTTGGATACAGTATCCCCTCAAATGAGTGAGAAATCACATGCTCAGACCCAAATCTGCTATTTATATTATTTCATTTAAGAAGCATTCGTGGCAGTGATACTTCAAAAAGAAAGTAAGTTTATATTCTCTAAAGTAATAGGACCTAATCAATTTCTTCCCTCTTGGGGATTAGTCCCTCCTTCTTCTCTATTTAAAAGCTGCCTAATACCCGCTGCCCTTTAAGCTTCTTCTGGAGTGTAAAAGTAACCCTGGTCCAGGTACTTTGCCTTCTGATACCCGAAGGAGAGGAGTACATTTCAGTAAGAATTTTATTCTCTCTGCTTTTTCATTTCCCTTTTCTCTTGGTTCACATTCTCTGACTTCCATG